AGTCCGGTGTCCTTCTTGCCGTTCTYCWYCCTGCTGGCGRTCCCCAGACCATCTTACCTCCGCCACCCATCCATTTCTTTCCCCTCCCAACCAATCCTGGCTGAATCGGGAGATGATCCTGTGGATATCTTGCCAGGAATTCATTTGGTCGAGTTTATCCCTGGCTGTCTTCCATTGGGCGGCGATTTCGTGTTGGAATAACAGGCGTAACTGTTGTGTGACTTCACCTTCTTCGACTCGTGCCCCTTCTATTTCCAATATACATTGTTTCCACCAGATGACCCACAGGACTGTCCGCCTGCCTAAATGGAACATGTTCTCCTCGAATGTATTTCCCCGAATCGGGGGGTAATGCCCTAGTAATATAGCCCTCCATTCCCATGGCCATTCTGCCCCGGGAACAATGTTTCGCCAGATCCTGTCCCAACCCCTCCAGAGAAAAACCGTGGCCGAAAAGATGTGTTCAATTGTTTCAGCCCGTTTCCTCCCTGGATAGCTCAAGAGACAGCTGTGGCACCAGGGTAATGCACGGCCTTGCTGTTCCAAGCGGGTATGCTCTATCAGCCAGTCGTTTGTTGGCAGGCATCGGTGTGCTATCTGCCACCGAAGGGCTGAAATCTTCCTTCCTTCCTTCCTTCCTTCCTTCCTTCGCTCAAATCCTTTCTTGTGGCAGGTATTCAACCCAGGAGAAAAATCGCATATCAAGCGCGCCTCGAAAGCCCTGTTGTCCTCAGCGCCAGCGTGTCTCAATGGAAGAACCCGAAATTCTCGATCCCACAATAGTGCATCCAGTGGTACAACGTCGGCGATTTCCTGATTGCCTCCATACTTGCATTACTCAAAAGCTCCCTCCATCGTTGCATCAACGGGCGCACTGTACTTCCCACATAGACTTTTCTACACCACGGGCTGCCTACAGCGTACACTCCTTCTTCTTTCAAGTCCATCATATCCGATGTGACCTGTGACCTCGTCACGTACTTCACCAGCCATGGGATTTGCCCTTTCAAGGCAAGTAGAAATATTGTCATAGTAATCAAGCCTTAGGCCATACTCAGCTCTTCACCACCTCTTCCCGGTTGCCAGAGGATCGATCGTTTGCTCAAGTGGAATTTCATAGCCTCCACAGGCAAGCGACCATAGGGGGCGCAGGTAGTCAGGCTGACACCTGCTTACCCTTCACCAGTGCTGATTTTCAAAATTACACGTGCGGACTTCACAGTCGCCTGCACTTCATCGCCCAGTCTCACACGTGTGTTACCCTTGCGCTCAGGACCCTGCACTTCATCGCCCAGTCTCACAATCGCCTGTTCTCCCTCCTCTCCTTGTGTTTCCACCTCTTTAAATCTCTCGTAGGCTAGCCTCACCTGTTCTCTGGCCAGAACGTCGACCGCCTCATCCTTTTCTTCTGGCATATTTTTCGTAACATTAATGCTTTCTTAGAGGAAAGAATCTTCTGCATGGAGAGAGAAAAAGGAAGAGGGGAGAGAGAGAGAGAGAGAGAGAGAGAGAGAGAGAGAGAGAGAGAGAGAGAGAGAGAGAGAGAGAGAGAGAGAGAGAGAGCAGTGGCTGCTGGTACCTGTAGGGGCAAATTGCACATTTGCATCTGAGCTCCTAATTGCCATCCCGTAGGGCATCTTGAAAAGTTGAACTGGTGGCGGTAGGGGCATACTGAAAAGATGTCAGGCCCAAGCAACACGGGATATTTCGCAAGTTGACGGAAGGGCATGCCAGTATAAGCTGGCTATTTGAGGGGCATGACACAATTAAAGGCTATTTCAGGGGCATAGCGAAAGTTTTCCCTTTTTTTTAGCCAGGACTGTTTTGTCTTAATCAGAGAACCCCCTTTCCAGAGTCTCCTCACAGATTGTGCAGGCCTCACGTGTCTGCACTTGGCATTCGTCAAGGACCGAGTGCAGGTGCAAAGGCCTTCCCACCCTCTTTCAAGAATCTGGCAATCTAGATCCATGCGGATTCCCACAATGGCCTTCAGATCTGGGGCTCACCTCTTTGGGACCAAGAAGTTACCGTGGCCCTCCAAAAAGTGTAAAGCTGGGTACTACCGAGTGAATCTTCCTGAGCTCCTCTCTCAGGTTCATCTGGCAGCAGACGTTCGGCCTTCTCTTAGGCCTTCCAAGCCCTCACTGACATGGTCTCAACGCCCGATCCATGGATGGGGCTGCCTATATTGTGTCCATACCATCAAGTTTTAGGCCCTTTGGCCTCCAGAAAGCTCGGTGGCTCTGGAGTCTGGACCAATTTGTGGACAAATCTTCAGCCCGAATTCATCCTGTACTATCACATTCTTCTCCTTGGACTCTTAGGCCCTGGTCGTCTTCGTCGCACAACAGTCTTAGGCCGCCCGATCTGATGATCGAGGGGTCTATGATTGCTCTGCCACAGAAATTTCGTCTAGACTCCACTCACACCTCTCCCACATTGAGTACACCTGGTTACCCATGGGCCACTGTGGTGCAATAAATCCAATTGGACAGCCAGGAACCGCCCAACGAACTTCTTCAGCCCTTCCCTCCCCTAAGATCTCCCCCGAGGCATTTGTCGGATGAGCCCCAACAAACAAAATGTGCAGGCTGCTGGAATGGAGGCCCAGGGCCATGGTGCAAACTTGCATGTTCACTCGACAGGGTCCCACCACAAAGTTAGCATGTCAGAGGGGTGTGCACAGAATATTGCAATTTTGTAGGGACGGTGCACAAATTACCGCACCTTTTACGGGGAAAGGTGCAAAATGGAAATTCGCCCTTGTTTCTCTCTGTGACACCTCTCGGGAGAGGTGAGTGCTTGCAAGCTCTTCGTGCTCGCATATGGTGTAACTCTTGTTCTTTCTTTTTCTTTTTTTTTTCTTTTTCCTTTTCCTTTTTTATATTGATGTAGTACGGTACTAATACCTCTGCGATATGGTCTTGCGCCACTACTCTCAACTCTCGAAAAAAAAAACGAGGGTAATTCAGGAGCTTTCAGATGCACAAAAACCTCGAAAATCCCTGCCTAGCTCACTTACTCTGGAAGGCAGGACACTCGATCTTCGAGAGCACTAGCCGACAGCTAAACTCCTGCCACCTGGTTTATCCACAAGGACTTGAGGTGGACTTGAGAAAAATGAGCCTTTTTGGAGAGCATGGCCGAGGACCCTCAAAAATAAGTAAGTTGCAGGCGGGGGAACTCTCGAAAGTTGAGATTGGTTTCGATGGTGATGTCTGACGGCTGGATAATACAATAATCAGGTGTCACAGACTTTACTCCCACAGCAAAAACACTCGATATCGCGGATGACAAGTCCACCAACGCTCAGCCCTTCTGTCCTGCTGCTCTCGACTATCGAATTTTTCGAGGGTCCACCTGCGCTCCACTTACTCTCAAAACGGACTCTTGAAAAACGCTTTTAAGAGCTGTCAGAGTAGTGGAGCAAGACCCATAACCCGAGTGAGAGGTGAGTGTTTGGAAGCTCTGAATGCACACACATGTCCTTAATGAAGGGACCAGAGTTCCTAGGCTGGGCCGCCTGCCATCATTAAGGCGAATAAAGCAATAGCTTCACTTAAAGCAAAACCTAAAATGGGTAGGGGTCAGAAGTGAGTCTCTGCCCTCTGAACCGTACGTGACAGTTTCCCGTCATACATCTCTCCATCAGCATTCCGTCTCGAACGCATAACACTCCCAGACGGGCCAACACTGCGTGCCTCCTGGATGTTTCCACTGGGCCAGCGGCACGGGTTGCGTGCCCCCCGTGATCACCAAATGAAATTAAATAGGCCACCGCTTCGCGGCGGTAACAGTCAACGCTGCGCCCGTCCATTTGGCCAGGCGGGCCCTGGAGGGTTAGCCCGGCAAACCCAGGTGATGCAAAACCCCTGCAAGATGTTTTGTTGTTTTTTTCTTTGGCAGTGGGGTCTTGCTGCGCTACCCCAAAGGACCCCGAATCTGCAATAAAGAAGTTGATTTGGGGGTGGGGTGGCTGGTTTTGGGGGCGGTGGGGGGGAGGGGGAAGAACTTGGGGTTACACAGGGGGTCTGACCAGGTGTGTAGCGACTGTTTTGCTGGTATGTCAGAGGTTTATTGCAGGTGTGTATGTCGAAGAAGAAGAAGAAGGAGAAGAAGATGAGAGGAAGATGAGAAGAAGACAAACAGCAGTGGCAGATGACAGGCAGCGGGTCACTATGATGGCGGTGGGGGGGCCCTGCTATATCGACCTAGGGATCCCCATCTCTCTCTCTCTCTCTCTCTCTCTCTCTCTCTCTCTCTCTCTCTCTCTCTCTCTCTCTCTCTCT